ATGTTTGTTGGTTTAAAAATGGCAAAACGATTGAGAAAAGTTTCAAGCATTTTATATTGCGCGTTAATTGTCCAAATTCTGCCAATTTAGCAATTTTCAAACGCCTTCATTTATACAAAAAAAACACAAGTGAGGTTTTTAATTTACGCTGAAGAAGAACATATACCTTTCAGATAATTTAAGCAGACTTCGTCAGAATTGAACAGTTAAAAAGTCGAAAATTGACTGAATAAAAAACCAATAATAAATAATCCGTTTTTATCAAAAGTTGGAGCAATAATCAATTTCTCGCATCTTACTCGGAACTAATTTCAGGCTCAAGTAATTTCGTCTTTAGTAGCATCTTTACCACGGGCAAAAGTATCTTTACCCTGGGAGAGAACGGGCAAAAATGTTTTAGATTTTTGATTTTTATTTTGCACAATCGTCCCAGCTGTTGTTATTGTCTTCTAGCGAATCATTTTGACCAGAATAAACGAAAGCTTATGTTTTAAAATCCATCACTTTCTGCAGATACTCCGTTTCACTTTAACAAAAAATTTTAAAAGAAAAACCTGATGATATCAGGATGAAACCTTGAGTAATTTGTCTGACTGTCTAATTGGTTTTGTTAATTGCATAAACTACTCAAAATGTAACATTTAACTTTTACGATGATCGATCAGCCTGAAGTTCATAGTTTTACCATTAATAAATCACCAAAACTTTTTCGAGACCTATTAAATTAGACCAATTTGGCAGCCGAAACTTTGCAATTTATTTTGACTCAGCACATTTAACTTCAAATACACTGATAGAAGAAAGCGTTAATTTTACTATTTTTTGTTCCGAATTTTGAAGGAAGTGAGGAATACGTATGTTCGGGGTGGTTTTTTTTATTCAAACCAGTTCAACAATTTCTGGTTCCCCAAGGGATCGATCTCTTGTCCGGCTTGGGCTCAGCCGGGTGAGCATACCACTATGGTAACCTGCTATGAGTCTATCAAAACTGCTCGTTGCATATAAGTTACACGCATGGCGAATTATCCCGCACTGTAAAATTGTTCCAAATTGAATGGAGGGATCTAATTGGTTTTGTTAATTGCATAAACTACTCAAAATGTAACATTTAACTTTTACGATGATCGATCAGCCTGAAGTTCTTAGTCTTACCATTATTAAATCACCAAAACTTATTCGAGACCTATTAAAGCAGACCAATTTGGCAGCCGAAACTTTTAGGAATATACCTTGATATTCGGCGTTAATTGCCGATAACGGCCAAATTTGCAGTTTTGAAACGTATTTTTTTTATCAAATCATTCAAATTATTTTACATTTTCCATTATTTTAAGCTGGACGAAACGTTGGAAAATATGTAGAAAAACAAAACCACCAAAACCCTCTTCGAAAGTCGGAACAAAAATATTGTTTTTTTTGTAAAATGTTTTTGAGAACATGAGTGCAAAATTGAAACAATTGAATCAAAATTCCTCTGATTCTTGTTGCTTAAAAAAACTATTTTGTATTTGTATTTAGCCAAACTTTTTTTTATTATTTAAAAAATTAGCAGCGAGGAAGTGACTTTTGATTGCTTCTGAACTTGTTCTCAGTTATAAGTTTCCAAAACCTTTGAAAACGGCGGAAAATTTTATCCAATTATCTCAATTAACAGTGTAATTTACTTTTGTATGACAAATGCTTCGAAATAACTGCAAGCACATCAAAATCGCAAATTTTTGTGAACAAAATTTGAGTATTTTGAAATAGCGAGTGAGTCAATTGCGACTCTTATATCAATTTGATTTATTGTTCTGACTTTCGAAGAAAATGACTGAATGTTGGCGCTACTGTTGTTTTTTTTTGACTTTTTCGCCAAATTTCGACTTTTTGACAAAGAATTTTTTTAAAACAATTTTTCCATATCAGCCAAAGTTTTTTGTTGTCTTAAGCTCGAATTTCAAAAAACATTTTTTAATTCTGATTTTTTTGCGTAAAATTATGACAGTTTAAATATTGTCAATATGGCCAACTTGGGTTGGTTAACGCGCGATATATTTCGCGCTATTAACGCGTAAGCGGTGATTTAAGTGCCCTTTGAAAGCGTTCTTAATTGATTGAGGCAAACTATTTGCGATAATGGCTACGTTATTAGGAGGAAAACTATTCCCTTATACTTATTAGGGCGTGTGGGGAGATGGTTTCAAAAAAAACTCAAAAATTTTTGTAAATTTTGTTTTCATTTTTAGTTCAAAAAACTGTCCCATATACCTTAAAAGTCAGTCAACACAATCACGGCTTTGCCCTGATACGAGCAGTCTTGTTTTGTTTGAATTCGCTGAAAGTAAAAAACTGAACACTTAAAACGCATGATACTTTTTTTTTAATCCAAAGAAAACCTATCGATTCTGTAGTTACCGCTTAGAACAGATAAAACTTTTCGCAGAGCAACTTTCCATATTGAAAAATTATCTGCATCATTATCTGCGTCAAAGTGAAGATAAACAAATCAATTAGGATGGATTGTCGAACGAAAAAAGGTCAGTTTAATTCATAACGATATCGCCCCTCAGAGAATCCAATTTTTCATAGATTTTCAAATTACTTACAGTCCATTCAAAATCCATTCAAAATCCATGTTCCACATTTTTTTCTTTAAATGTCCACTCTTACCATAATGGGAAAAATATGTTTGAGTGGAGGAGTAATATGGTAATATGTATGTGAAAATAGACGTAAAGATGAAGATTGCAAATATTCTGTGCAGGATAATGGTGGTGAAAGAATAAAAATCGAGCAAGGAAGGGGATAGGTATTGAGGAGGGTTAGACAGGCGAGAGTAAGCAATAACTAAAAAATTAAAAGCAATTTATCCAAAAACAAAAAAGTAGAAAACGTAAGAGAAAGTTGTTCTGATACCTACCCTACGAGAAGCTCCATTTTATTAATGCAACGTATCTTTAATCAACATGTAAACCATAAAACAATTTGTTGTCATTTTTTGATCTCCAGTGTTTTTCCAAAAGTACGCAAATTAAAAACATCAAATTTTGTGGGTTTATTTTTTAACTGGTGGTTTTTGTAATCGGGAACTAGTTTTTTCCACTAAGAACATATTTCTGACAAACATCTAAAACGTTATTAATGTTTTATTATAGAAACTCAATATCATAATTTTAGCTTTTCCGTAGCCTCAGCTGGTATAAAGGAAAGGCACGCGCCGTTGGAGCATATGGTCTTGGTTTCAAATTCCGGTCGGAACTTGATTTTTCCGATTTATGTGTACTCGGGCTGACGAAAAATGCTCTTCACGTATGTTTCAAATATATGGTCCCAGCATTTCGAACATTTAAAAATGTTGCTTTAAAACTCTATGACTTGCAATCTCCCATTGATGTGAACTTTATGACTAGCATTCTTCCATAATTTTTCAAACTTCCCCCTTTTTTGGTTTTGTGTTTTCTTCCTAAAACAATAAAACAACCAAAGGTAAGAGCGACATTTGAAATCTCATAAAAACTGAATTGAGATTATCTTAAGGGATTAAATATTTTCTCTGGAAAAACTTAATTAAAAAATTTCTTGATCTCTTACAATCAAGCGCAGAAAATTACACTGTTTTTTGGCCAATTTTAACCTTCATGTAATTCTAAACTGCCAATTGTTTGTTACCGATTAAAAAAAACTGAATTCCATTCATGAAAAAAATTCTGTAAAAATGAGTTGTTTTTGAAAATTTTGAGCAACTGCTTACGTTTCAGACAAAGAAAAATTAAAATTTTGAGAATTGTATGGCTAGCATTTTTTCATAAGCTCCATATATGCAAATGTATGTCTGAAGTTTTTGGTGCGTTAAGGTCGAGGTAATTTGAAGTAATTTTGAGGAAAATTTGAATTGTGTCTTAAGTTTGTCTGCGTTTTTTTGTCAAAATACTTTCGGAAGCAATAGAATTTTCTTTGCTAAGCATCATGTTTTTCTGATTCAACTTTTTTAAACTTTAATTGATAGTGACTCTGTATTTTGTAAGTTTACTAGCTCAGATTTTTTCTCAATGCATTTTTTATTCACATCCCAGTTTTTTGCTTAGATGGTTTCTGTTTATTTTTTATTGACCTATTCACCTCGTTTTGAGTTTGAAGGTAAAAGCAATTGGGTAAGCTTTTGTGTGTTTTAGAAGGAATAAGGCATACAATCTTTGAGTTTGGAGTTTTATAGCTCAAATGGCGTCTATTCAAATATTGCCGGTCTTATTGGAGCTCGGTATCTGATAAACACATATTCATTGGCGCTGGTTGTGTTTCTTGACATGATGTTTCTCATTTTAAAAATCATACAAATGTGAAATTTTTGTGAGATGTTTTTTTTTCGAATTTTCTGAAAGCAATTTTTTTGACTTACATTGCCCTGTTCATTTTATATCGCAATTGCTGCGAAGTTCCGCTCTGCCTCTTTGTTGATTTTTTTAGGTTTGGTTTCATTAATTCTTTATAATCAATTTAGTAAAAATTTAGTGGAGACGGACCATAAAAATTTAATAAAATTGATAATTAACCATTGAATACAATGAGAGTCAGTCAGCCAAAAATGGTACAACATAATAGCAGGAAAAGAAGCGTTTTTGATAATGAGGGCGACTAAATTCTGAGGAAAAGTGTCGTCCGCATCCACAATAAATCAGCTACTGTATGCTTTCGTAGTGGTTCACTTTACCTTTGGCAAAGCGATTAGAAGTCAAACTGGAGATTAATTTTGTTTTTCAAGAGTGATTATTCATCTTACATGCTTTGCATCTTTTGTCTTTCACTTTTTTCTATGTATCTACGAACAAAAAGACATACTTTCAATTTAGATTCGGGAGAAACAAAAAGCGACACCGATTGTTTGAAAGAAGTTCACAAAATTCACAATTTAGGAAGTCTCAAAAAGAATTTTAAATGATATTAGTTTTTTTGAGTCTGGGATATATATACAGACCTTTGATGAGTAAGAAAAAGTAAAGAGTTCACAAATTTGGGCTTACCAATTTCTGGAGCAAGTGGTATTAAAATTTAATATGAAAGAGTAGACAAGATTAATGAAGGAAGTCTCGTTGTTTGACTTTAATTTTTTGATCCCCGGGGTTTGATTTTTTAAAGAAAGTTGCACAAAAACGACGACAGAGGTAACTAAATTACGATCAGCTTCCGGCCATTTTTACAAGATTATCCCAACTAGCATCGCAAAAAATTGCAAATTAAGATGGTAAATTTTGCAAGTCAAGTGTGTGAAATATGCTTTGAATATCAAAAAGCAATTTCATGCCAACCTCGAATAATTTTATACTGTTAGCATATTTGATTAGTAGTACAGGTACAACAGAAAAAAGAAGACCACAAATCAATATTTTCCTACGTCAGGTATTAAAAAATACAAGAGTTTGTTGAGAAATTGATATTTGTAGAAGTTGCAAACCAAATATACCCAGCCAGAAGGATAATAGTGTAGTGTTTATACTCCAGTAGAATTAAACTGCTGCTGAGCTTTTTTGCAGGCCGGTGTAGGGAATTGAAAATAAAAACGTCTTTGGGGTTATTTGCAAGTAGTATTATAAATGTCCCGTCGCGTAAAGTAAATATGCCCAACGGACCTTTTGGTACTTTTTTTAAAATGTATGCATTCCTGATGCTGTTGTGGAGGTTCAGAAATGGAAAAAAGGTGCGTCGTCTGCTCAGGACGAATAATGCGTTCATCAATTGGTAAGGAAAAAGCTCTAAACTGATTTTTAGAGAAAGACGCACAGTATACTATAGTGTATATTCCGTATATCCGTTTGCTTTCTTCATTTTTACCGTAATGTTCGTCCTCCAATCGAGCTAAAATGTACTACTCTATACGCTAAAACAAGAAAAAATGCACAATATAAAAGGTAATTGGCCATTTTTAATGGAGAATTCAAAAGGTCAAACTTGACACCTCAGTTGATGCAGAAGAAATCCATTTGGCAATATCTTTATAATTTGCAAATCAATTAAAATGTGTTGCAAATGGGTTCGAAAAAGTCATTTTGTTAATTATCAGACGTTTTTGAGCGAGCATCCACAGAGCCGAATGTCCGAATAGCCGAAAAGATTTGTACAGTCGGATAGCCGAAAATTTAGCCGAATTCTGAGGTACCGATTCACTCGCAGTTCACCTCTCGTGCCGGAGGGAAGCGCAGCAGAGCAAGTGGTCACTAATTTCCTAGGAAGAGTACTCGATAATCTTTAATAATTTTTCTTGCTAATTTTCAAAAAAAAATCAGTTTTCCGGGAACTTTTTTTTTCTGCTATCCGATTACTCGGATATGTGATACTCCGCCGTTTTTTTGTATCATGATAGCAATCAAACCTTCGCAGTCTTTGATAATGTTCCTATCGAATGTTAACCACGAATTGAACTATTCCTATCGCTAAAATCATTACTTTTCTAATAAAACTAAAATCTTCTGGCCAAATTTCCATATCACATTTTAGAAAACAGTTAGACTTCTGCGAACTTCAAATCTCATTTTTTTGCAATGAGACTTGCAAAATATGTGTAGCCTATTTGTAGATTGCAATATAATCAGCTTAAACTTTTAGAAACGTTTCGCATGACAATGCGACCATCGGAGTTTTTTTTGCAACCTAATGTATTGCAGAATGAATAGTCGAGCCAAGATTAAAAAACTTTTAAATGGTAATAAGGAAAAACTCACAGGAAAAATTTAACAACGTTTTGCAAGTTTTTGCTGCTGAAGTTGGTTGGAATGGCCCAAGCCGAGGTACGCGACTCATGTTGCGATCGAGTTGGGTCGCGGAAATAGACTATCTGCGGCCGAAATTCCATACTTAGGCAAGAGGCTTGAGTCGTGCAAATTCGCAAAATGGGTCGCGCAAAGTCGCAACATAAGTCGCGCAAAATCGCAACATGGGTCGCACAAAGTCACTACACGAGTCGCACAAAGTTGCAACATGGGTCGCGCTAAGTCGCTACATCAGTCGCGCAAAGTCGGAACATGAGTCGCGCAAAATTGTAAAATGGGTCGCTCAAAATTGCAACATGAGTCGTGCAAAGTCGTAACATGGGTCGTGCAAAGTCACAACATGAGTCACGAAAAGTCGCAACATGGGTCATGCAAAGTCGCAACATGGGTTGCGCTAAGTTGCAACATGAGTCGCGCAAAATCGCAAAAAGATCATGCCTTATAAAAAGTGTTTCTGTTTCGGCAGATTTATTAATGGGATTCTTTTTTTCCTTGTAGGAGCGCAATACAAAGAAAATTTGCTAAATAAACCAGTATATTTGTAATTTTTATGTGCAATTATCTAGACCAAAATATTTACTTGCCAGATACAAGACCGCCACAAGAATGTCTACACTTGGTCCCAAAATAAAACTTGAGCTTTTTATTGGAGCAACAACAAAGTCGCTACCACAAAAATTGATTGCTAGAAGCCATTTTTTCGAGCACAATGTTTTTGGTCGAGCACATTTTTTTATAGAGATCGGTTGAAATACCAAGTTTTGGTCGATTCGATCGAAACATTAATTGCAAATATCGACAAGGTTCTTCCAAAGTCGCAACAAATCGTTTTTGAGTTGCGCAAAGTCGCAATATCGTTTTTGGTTGCGCAGAGGTGTTGCAACATACCTTTTTTGGGTCGCACAGAATCGCAACATATCTTTTTTGGGTCGCGCAAAGTCGCAAAAAAAACCTCACTCGCGAAAAGTCGCAATATACTAATTTTGAATCACAATGATTGTAACATAAGTCTCCGATTCCGACCCGGGGGTACATGGTTGGATATCCAGACATCCAGACTGAAGTCGCATCTTAGATGACACAACCGACACTTCGGCCGATTTTTTCTAGCCCACAAAAACACGAAACGGTTGCGACCTAAGCCACGATGCCTTAATCACGGCCCAAAAAGTAGCCACTTCAAAACACAGTACGGTCACTCAAGGTAGATGGAAAAACTACTTTTATAGCATTTACAAAAATACAAAGACAACAAAAACGTCACACTAACAACAATAAAGTTAACCAGCAAGCAAAAAATCAAGTCGCTTGAGTTTCAATTGAACGTCGATCTGTAATTTGTAATTTGAAAGTCGATCTGAAAGTCAATCCAAACTGAAATTGTTTTGCTGCAACCTGATTGGCTAGAATAAGCCAATCAAATCTGAGCACCATCTAAAAATGTTTTGTTCACATTGATATGTCGACTTGTAAAAAATAAATCCGCCAAAACTACAAAAAACTTGTAAAATTTTCCAAATTTATTTCAAATTAGCTGTAAATTTTTACCAGACCAGAAAAAAATGACAGAAAAACTGCAGGAAAAAAAAACGATTACAAAATTCGGTCTATCTTGACATCGGCTGAAGAATAAAGTAATTGCACTGGTATTAATTAAACCAATCAGTGCGATCAGTATACTGTTCTCTGAATTTTTGCATTGAAATTTACATAATTGCCAATTTAGGCAATTTAGACGGAATAAACAAAAAGACCCCAAATCTGATTTCATGTCACCCAGTGTGAAACATTTTTCGCTGATATGTTTTCGGATATATACTGAGCGACCTTGAAAACAGTTGACATTTTTGCTTATATCTTTCCTTAAAAATTTTAGCATCTGAATTTAATTACTGGAATTGTTTTATCTGATTATATTGAGGAGATTTTCAGGTTGATTCATCTCACATATGTGAATTAAAGGAACAACTGTTACAAAGTGTTTTAATGCGCTCCTGGGTGTTGCTCTGACATGACGACTACGGGATTGAATCCACTTGACGTAGCGTCGTGCTATATGCGCATTCATACCGGTGGTGTGGTTCAACTGGAACGCTTCCGTTTTCTGGTTGCACAACGTTAGCTTTAAAAAAACATATTGCACTCTGCATGTGGAAAAGAGGTTTAATTAACTGACCAGAGAGTTACCGGAGGTACAAAAAGCAGAGAAAAAGACCGGAAAAAAACACAGAAAGCATAAAAAACTGAAATCTCTATAAATACTTTAAGAAATGACGTCGCTGTTTGAATTCAGATCGGTTGTATAAGACCTCTGTATTCATTGAATTTTCTAACATTTGATCGTTACGATAAGTTTTATCAACATTTGATTGTTATAATCAAGGCATTCATAAGAGTTAAGAATTAAGGTTTAAACAAATAAGCCTGAAAGTTAACCACAAAAACTCTTCTGTGATAAAACGAGAAAAGTTATGTTTATGGCTTAACCTGCAGTTTTTTTCTAGTTTATTGACCGTAAAGATATGCTTTCTAAGCATCGGCTTGTTTGAGAGCCACACCGAGGTCAACCACGGTCGTGGCATTTTGATCCCTCTGCCAAAGCCATGTAAACCGAGAGGGCCTGTTAAAAACATTAGACCTGTTATACGCAAAAATCTATCCAACATCACGCTTGCGAGACTAGCCAATTTTAGTGAACGCCATCTTTCGGCATCACAGTGTGCGTATCGTACAGGTAAAAGCACTACCGATATTGTATGGAGTTATAAATGGATCACAGCCCGCGTTCAGAAATATCGTGAAAGTTTGCACATCACTTGTATCGACACGAGTTCTGCATTTGATACGATCAAAAGAGAGCACCTGCTGGACATTGTCATTGGCATTCCAAATGACGATGTTACAAGTTTGATCCAAATACTAATCAGCAAGACCACTCTGGAAATCAAAATTGACGGCGACGTCGAGAAAGTACCGATTGAGACCAATATTGATTCTCCACAAGGTAACGGTCTCAGTGGTACAGCATTTGACTGCTTCTTTAAGACACACTCGTCGATGTCAGAGAAGAAATCAAGGAACGAATAGATGGAAAACCATATTGGAGTCCATCTAAATCACCAGACGAAGCAATGACATTTCCAAAAAGCACTGTCTTACTCATCTGCGCCCTCAAGTCTTCTTTTCTGCACCAGTTGAAGGCCGTCCCATCTAGAATGCTGATCAGGCTCACGTGTACCACCGAGTGCCGATACGCCACCACGAGTGGATCCAGGAATGCATACGTCACTGCGGGCCCATAGACGCAGGTCACCACTTCCCCCAAGCCTCTAATCATCCCCACTGGGTAGATCTCGTGGCCAAACACAAGTTAGTCAGAAGGCTAATGCCCCCATTCGCCTCTCTCACTTCTTCTCTCGTCTTGGGATTTCTTTCTTAGCCCGTCAAGTATCAATTCTTCATCAGCAGATAGTTCACAAGCAATGTCTTCAGTCCGGCAGCCTACTTGCACGAATAGGTCTCCACACTCGGGTGAGCCTTCCTTATCGACAGGGGTTCCCCATACTTCATCAACCGATGATGAAACGCCGTTAGTTCCCCGTGCGTCAAGAACACCAGCGTCAAATACCCATCAATCCGTAGCGTTCCCACGCCCCTACTGAACAGGTATGCCGGCCCCATATTGAACAGGTACCTGGGGTATACCAGATACAACGCTAGCAGGAGGTTGATGGGCATATTCAAGAGCTCCTGCACGAACGCTTCAAAGATGGTGTCTTCCGCGTAAAATACTTTGTTCGGATACTTTTTTTCCCAGTACGGGCTCAAGAATCTCAAGATTTCGTTGTTCTTCCTGATCTTCAGCTCGCCCTTCGCATGCTCCATCCAGAAACTTCCGATGGTGACTTCATTAGCTGCTTTGACAAACTTCCCAACGCATCTCCCTACCTTCTGCCACCTCTAGCTGCTCCTCAATAAAATTCCATATTTGTTTAAT